GTGTAAGGTAATGGTCTATTTTCATTTTTTTGCATGTGGCTGTCCAGTTTTCCCAACACTATTTGTTGAAGAGACTTTCCTTTCTCCATTGTATGTTCTTGGCTCCTTTGTCGAAAATTAGCTGTCCATAGATGTGTGGGTTTATTTCTGGGCTCTCGATTCTATTCTAAAAAGGTACATATGTTCTTACAGCTTAGTAGAATGGACATCAGACTGATAATGAGACCTGCAGGTCCTAGCCTTAGAGAATATCTTCTTTTTTTTTTTCATTATAGAGATACCAGTCTATCTGTCCCATTTAGTTGACAGTGTTGTTGGTAAGATTAGATGAGATATTATATGTGAAGGTGCTTTTAAAATTTAGGAGCATTGCACAAAATAAAGGATTATTATTATTTGGAGTTGTAAACATGACTAAACTCATATCTGAGGAATTGCTCTCTCAAATCAGAAAAAAACAAAGGGAGGAGTATTACATGGGGAAGTGACTTGTGTTTTCAAGCTATGTGAAGTTAGAAATTATGATATGCCAAAGGACTAATGTATAAATTCTTAAAAATATAAACATTAAATAATCTCTTATTTTCATGCTCTTTACCATTTGATTGACCTTGACTTGGATTTATTTTTAAGGATTTGTGTACATCAATGGCAGAATCCTCTAGTGATTCAGACCACTTCCGCTCTCGTGACCGATTGAGTCGATGGGCTGCCAGGTCAACACACAGGGAAATTCGAAATCGTCCCACAGTAGATGTCACCGAGAAGGTCAACACTATAACAAGTACTTTACAGGTTAGTTTAACAATGGTTGCATTTAATAGATTTTAAATAGTTTAAGCTGAGAAATAGTTCTGGTCAGTGTATTAGCTTTTTTGCTGCTGTAACAAATTGCCACAAAACTAATGTCTTAAAATAACAGAAACTGATTTTCTTACAGTTCTGTAGGTCAGAATCTGACACTGGTCTCATTGGACTAAAATCAGGGTGTCAGGGCTGCATTCCTTTCTTGAGGCCCTAGGAGAATATCTGTTCCCTTGCCTTTTCTAGCTTCGAGAGGCTGCTCACATTTCTTGTTTTGTAGCCCCTTCCTTCGTCTTCAAAGCCAGCAAGGGTGGATTGAGTCCTTCTCACATCACATCACTCTGACTACTTTTCTGCTTCCTTCTTCCACTTTTAAGGATGCTTGTGATTACACTGGGTCCACCCAGTAATCCAGGATAATCTCCCCATCTCCAGGTCTTTAATTTAATCATAGTTGCAAAATCCCTTTTGCCATGTGAGGTAACATATACACAGGTTCTAGAGATTTGGACTTGGAGATTTTTGGGGGTCGTTATTCTGCCTAACGCAGTCACTAAAGATATTTGAAATATATGACAGATTGTGGAAGTGTTTTGGGAAAAGGCAGTATTTCCAAATAAAATATTGTGAGGGTGAAACCAGTCGGAATTACCATAGTTTAGTTTCTTGTGGACATGTGCTTTTAGAGAAGTTGCTCATATTTTGGCTAGGTTCATTATTCATGGATGAATGATATTGAGATGACATTTTGATCTAGAGGCTAACCTCTGACAGGCTTTGGAAGTTTCAGTGGAGGCAGTTTACATCCTCTCCATGGAAAGGTCTTGGGGAAAGAGGTGGGGGAGGGGTAGCACAGTCACACTGGAAACAAGAAAACTCAGAAATAGAATTTTTTCCTACCCATTAATCCCTTACTTTTGCTTTGCTTGGATAAGCATGGATTTGAGCTTTTAATGCTTTGGGTTAGTGTGCTTAGATAAGAAGAGGCTCATTCCTGGTGGAGAGGCCATAATTTGATTTAAAACTCAACGTCTTTTTCTTTGTAAACTTATTGAAACTAACATAACAATGGATTTTTGGAATACAAATCCTTTACTTTCCCACCACTGAGACACATTAGTAATTATATATTTTTCAAAGAAATGCCTCCATTAATCTCTCAGGTGAAACGTAGCCTATTTAAGTGGAAACCATTTTTGTTGTGATTAGAACTAAATGTGTTGTTTATAGCTAAAGTTTAAAGAATACTTTTTTTCTATTCTCCTAATCAAGTTCTGAGCTGAAGTAATAATTGAAATAACATTGATCCTAATGATTTGCTTCTCTTATACACCATCTACTAGACTTGTTCTTTCAGGATTCGTTTTCTATAAAGAGGGTGTGAATTAGTTGAGGCCCACAAATTGGTAATGAGGATTCTTTTCAATTTACAACTTTGTTCCTGTCTTACTATGGAACCTTGGATAAGGATTTAAATTATGTGCTTCAGATTTTACACAAGTGAATTGCAGATGGATTTGAGTTTCTCTCTCAGTGGTGTTAATAAGATTTATTTGATATTTATGAAGTGTATTGATATCCAACTTAACTATGGTATAAATTGTACCTTTTACAAATGATTGACTTAGCCATTTGGCCTACTACTAAGATGGATTGGGAAAAACATCGTTTGGAACAATTAATAAAGTGCATTTTCTTTCTTAAGGACACCAGTCGGAACCTGCGACAAGTAGACCAGATGCTTGGACAGTATCGGGAATATAGTAACGGACAGGCGGGTGCTATAGAACACGTGAGAATGTTTACATATGTTTGCATTTTCTCTTACCCACTTTTTGGAAATGCAGTTGTTGAGTGTGGATGTGAGATAAAGGAGATAACCATTGTGAATAGCTTAGCTTTTAGACTGCTTTACTATTTTGTAGTTTAAATTTAGGTTAGCTTGTCAGAAGGATTGCCAATTAGGTTATATAGATTTGATTGTATTGAATTTGAAAGCTTTTAGTCAGAGGGGGAGGAATTTAGGACATGAATTAAAGTGAAACTGACTAAATTTGGGCCATGGATACCCTTCATGGGGAATTAAGAATTTTAAGGATGGTTTATTTTAAAGAATACATGCTCATTGTTTAAATAAATCATAAAATTCCTATCTCATAGTCCTTCTCAGTCCCACTCCAAAGGGGTAACAATTTTTGACAGTTTCTTGTATATCTTTCCAAACATTTTCACTGCATGTATAAGTATACGTGTGATTGCTTTAAAAACTGGAATCATACAAAATATAATGTTATGCAACTTTTTTTCATTTAATAGTAAGTATCATTTTTCCGTATGCTCAGGAGCTCTACCTCATTCTTTTGAACAGTTATATAATATTCCATAGTATAGATGTATCCAGTTTTTTGGTTGTTATTATTATAAACAATGCATCAATGACCATTATTGTACACATATTTTTGTGTAATCATGTATGATTCCTGGAAGTAGAGTTGCCAGGTTAAAGGATCTGTACACTTACAAATTTGCTAGATATTTCAAAATTGCCATTTCAAGGATATGCCAGTTTATACTTACTGGCATAAGTTTATACTTACTTCATGGAGATGTAAGAAGGAAAGATACCTTCTTAATATTTTGCTAATTCTGTCTCTCTATTATTTCCTTCTTTTGGAATTTGCTAACTCATCTTCTGTAAACTCTTGGAAAACCAATTAGGTTTATTCCTTTATGTTTCCAATTATGAGTATACACTCTAATGAGAAGACTAATATTACATTTGTACTATAATGATTGTCTTATATATATCTGTGCTGTACTAAATTGTTGCATAGCTTCCAAGTTGTAATTGATGATTTGCTATTTTCTTTTTACAAAGCAAATGTATTATTATTATTTGCTTGTAATTGGAAGCTCATTGCTTGAGCACAAGGAAACATATCTTCTCTCATAAGGTTTTCTAGTAATTTCATTTAGAAAATAAACTTGGATTTTCTTTCATCTACAAGGTTTCTATGATTTATGATGTATTTGACAGATGGAGCTGTATATTTTGTATATTTGGGTAGCTTGTGAAATGTTTTAGATTTAACTACCTTATTAATAATGGGAGTTAATTCTTTGCTTTTTAATTTATTAGTGAAAAGTAAAAAGCAGTATTAACTAGTAGCAGAGAACAAACCTATTTTGTCACGTTGAATATTAGATACTTATGGTAGCAGATTTTCTTTGAGTTGAGCAATTGGGAAATGAAATTGTGTATTAGAGAACTTTTGTACAGGTAAGCATTTAAAACACAAAATGTGTTCTACTATGGCATTAAGCCTCTGTGGTAGGCCTAGAGTTGAATAATGCTGAACTTGGGGGAGTGGTTTTATTCATGCGAAGTAAATAAACTCAACAAATATTTTATTTCCATCTGAGTTTTAAGTACATAGAATGCAAAGCCACTCGTTTCAGAAATAAGACACAGGAGAGCAAGAGTCTTTCCTTTTGATTCAGGCTGTTCCTTAGTCTGGTCTAGACTCTCTTCCTTAGTCTCCCCAAATTCTTGTTCTGTTAAAACAGTTGGTTCTCAATGATCTTGCTCTCCATACGAGTATCTCCCTCACTGCCTTATGTTGTACTCGATTGATAGAGCAATGATTTTCACCCTGCCACCTGTAAGTTACCTGAGGGAGCACCTGCTGTAATCTATGGGAAGTTATGCATCTCAGAAAAAGTATTTCTCACAACAAGTGATTCTGATGGGCTCCTTGATGAAAATTGCTTTCTTAGCATTAAAATATTTACTGCTGTAGAATATATCATACCTGGAAATGAGGATATGTAATGTGCCAACTGTCATGTGAATTATCCAGATCTTTCTATTCATATTTTTTAAGTCCTTTAAGTACATGGTAGAATTATCCTTTTTTTTTTTCTTTTAATTAATGTGTGTTCTGTTTTGGGAGGGACCCTAAAGAGTGATTTTTTTTTTTTCTTTTTGAGACTATCCTGCAACTTATGCAAGTCCCCTTGCTGTGGAACCTGCTTTTTTTTTTTTTTTTTAAACATCTTATAACAGGTTAATCCATTTTAACCAATGTTCAACTGTGAAAAAATTTCTTCATGCTGAATAGCCATTGCCTCATTGAAATTAGCATTTAATTAGCATTTCCCTTTTAAAATGTAAACGATTTCCTAGAAAATGAGATCAACTCTTTTGCTCTAGGGAAGACAAGAACTTTTATTATTAACTTAGATTTTATAAATGATTCTATTGCTAAACCTCAGGAAATGGATGTTAGTGATATATATGCATTTAAATATTTATTTTATTGGAATTTGACTTTGTGAATATAATTTGCCAATGGGTGAGGGGAACTATAAATATTCGGTGCACTGTTTTCCTCCTGAGATGATCTCCCCCAACAAGAGAACGGTGAGAATTATTCCTGTTGGTTTTGTAAGACCTAAGAGTCAAGAGTCATGTTGGGTCACTTTTCTGATGACTTTTCCTTGAAATATACATAATTTCACTATTGTTCCCTTAAATCTTGATAACTTCCAACCCTAAATTTAATTCTTTGCCTATTATATGAGAATGCCTCTCTATGAGGAGTTGAGCAGTGTTAGAGCATCAGTGATGGTGTCCGTGGTATTTCATAGAGAAGCAGCACCTACCTTTCCATAGTCTCTTTGGGCATTTATCCGTAAACTTAGTACATTCCAGGTGCTTTTTTAGATTAAGTCATTTAATTCTCTGAACAATCCTATTAGGTAGCTAGTATTATTATCCTCATTTACAAGATAAAAAAACTGAGGCACAGAATAGTTGCTAACTTGCCCATGGTCTCACAACTAGTCAGTGACAGAGCCACGCAGAGGATGTTATCCCCAAACCAAGAATCAGAATTCATTTACCTCATTGAGTCATGGTTGCTCCCATTTTCATGATGCTGTGAGTTTACATGTCTGAAAATTGAGATTTTGGATTCAAAGTTTGAAGGGTTATATAGTTTATATCGATAAACTAGATTTTGGAGGTTATCTTAACTGATTAAAAACAGAAGGCCACTGTCACAGAAGTCATTGATATTACAGCTGCTGCAATGTCTGGAATGAGAGTTAGATGGACCAAATACAGAAACTGAATTAGGAAGAAATCTGGTGCTGAGCTAGGATTGGCATTGCTGGATTGTCAGAGTTGGCAGTTCTAGCTGCCATTTACGCAATGTGGTGAATTCTGCAAGTTGTCTACACCAACGTTAATTTTGCCCTTGTTTCTAAGCAACAACCATTGATTGTTCACTAGCCTTTCTTGCAGCCCTTCCAGCTAGTGAGCCATATTTATTTATTTATTTTACAGTAGTGACTTTCCTTTTCTTTTTTTTTCTTTTAAAAGGATAATTTTATTCTACTCTGTTAAAAATTTTTTGTTTATTGCAGTAATATTGGTTTATAACATTGTATAAATTTCAGGTGTACATCATTATACTTCTATTTCTGCATGAATTACATCATGTTCTAGTGAGCCATATTTAGTTGGATAGTATGACTTAGGATCTTTGGGCTCAATGAACTTCATGACCTTGAGGAAGTGTCATCCTGCATTATTTCTCATGCTGTAAATTTCTTGGAAATTTTGAGAACAGTTGGGCCAAAGCGTACCTGTGGGGAAGGTTTTATTTGAAAGCTTACTATGAAAATTTGGAACATATACTCCTGTGTTAAATAGCGCAATTGATTAGCTTAGCGTTTAGAATATTTCTAGAACTGTGTGTTCCTATTCATGAGAGAACAGGGTCTTTTTTTGTGTTAATGCTATAAAAATGGAATGCCCTTAAGAAAGAATATTCAACATAAAAAGTTAATACCTTCTGGAGTGGTAATTTGGACTGTAGCTGATGAGGTTAAAGTAGTTAATATAGGGTGTAAAAGACAAATACAGTTCTCTTGATTCAAATCAATAGATTCATTAAGTTCACTTTTAAGGTAAAGCTTGGTTAAAATATAGTAATATCAAATTAGAGCTTAGAGGCTTGCATTAAGGTAATATTTTTTCTAATTAAGTACTCTGATTAAAATTTCCCTTTGGGAGTAATAGGGTGTTACCATCTGGCACATGAATTTTGGAAGAAGTTGAATGTTAGATGATAAAGTCCAGGTTTTTTTCTCTATTCAGTGGGTTTCAATTGTCAAATATACTTAGTGACACCCCAGAAGGATAATGTTAATTGTTTAGAGCCAGGCACAAGTCACTTATAATATCCCAAAGCTGAAGGTATCTGCCCCTTTCTCTCTGGCTGAGTTTTACTGATTGTCGTGGAGGTGAGAACTGTTCCCAGTCTTTTAATAACTTTAATGTTAAGTAGTAGCAGTCTATGGGTAAGAAATAGTAATCAAACTGTTAAATTCTGTTAGGACCTTCTTTTCATAAGTATATTTCAGATCTTAGGAATTAGGTTCTTAGAGTATTATGTTTAAAATTTTATTACCATATCTCTCATGAAACTACTGTACAGGAGAATAATTTTTACAGACTTTTGCTTTGAGGCTAGTGGAATAATGTAGACTTTGGAGTCAGACTTGAAATTGAATCCTGATTTTTCTACTAGAAATCATCTCAATGACTTTGGGCAAGGTATAAAACCTTTCTGAACTTGAATTTCATCATCTGAAAAAAGAATATAATCATATATCCCTTATTATAACTAACATTTATTGAAGTGGTCACACTGTTTAGGTACTTGGTAAACATTTATGTTCTTGTTATTTCTTTAATTCATCCAATAATCCCTACCTTCAAGC